GTGTTGGAAAACGGGTGAAGTAAAAGCAATGAAAAAATAGGGGAGCGAACAGTGAGCAATGCCCCTGCGAATGACTTTTCTGTTGCATGCACTAGCAACAGGAGACGATAATGTCATTAGTTCGTCAACGCTCACTCGTCCGCCCGTACGCGCACGCTGTCCTTGAGAAATAATCTCATAATGATGAAATGGTTTGACAGAATTTACAGAGGGAGAGGAAGGAGCGACGATAAAGCAAACGAAGGCCGCTAAAGATGAGCTCTAGCGTATTGTAGATATAACGCGCCTTCAGAGGGCAAACAAGCGAATTGGTAAATGGCACATCAGTTAGCGACTTTGGCAACTTTTTAGCTTGCTTTACGTTCTTTGACGGAAAACCAGAACGTCGGTCTGTGCAAGACGAGTCTAATCAAAATCTGATCATATTAATTACCTAATTAATTTGCTAAATATGTTGCGGTTACGATATTATTATTGCTAAGCAAGTGTTATCGTACGGTGCGTTCAATGCGTGGTCTGTCGGTGGCTCGGAAGGTCTGAGTAAACGAACTATTGAAATACATAAAATCATGCAATCAACGGGTATTCCTGACGGGATCAATTAAATCGACATACAGTATGTACCGTTAGCATAACGAACATGCGGTATATTAAAATATTGTTTATACATGGTCTGGCCTTTATTTTAAGGATAGTATCATGGTATATATTATGAAGCTTCGGCCTGTTCCGTTGCCCGAAATGGGGCATTTGATTCCTATTTCGAGTGCGTACCTTATTTTGGGCATGCGGAGTTGTTCAGGTCGAACGTAAATACACACGGTATGCTTCGGTCCGAAAAACGGATCAGCAAAAAGAACCCGAATAACTCTTCTTCAATTAACAATTGTTTTTGAGGAAGTTCGTATCAATGAAACGCAACACTTACCGGAAATCCGATACAAATGAAACAGCTGCAGCGCTTACCTGTATCGTTTGGGACATGCCTGAGACCGCGGCGGCGGCATACAGACCCAGCAGCCGATTCAGAAATGAACAAGTAAACTTCCAGAACAAAAAGGAGAAACGTTGATATCCCGTATCTGAGTTTAATGTATTTAGAACGTGACCTTGTATTATATCTGTGTCTATGATTTATTCAACTGCTATCAAAGCTGTACATTACTGCTTTTTTAGTCTAGTTTAATTACTAATATCGCGAAAACATTTATAACGAACGAAAGGAGTCCTGTTTTAATTAATGTAAAACTTGTTAGCAGGTCAGTTACATTGAATACAGTTGTTGTATAATAAGAATTCGGTTAAGTTCGCCTGCCCTGCATATATGGCAAGTTTCATCTTTCCAAACAGAAGTACCTTTTCGTGGTAATTTGTCAGCTTACGATGGAACAACAAATCGAGTGTTGCAGTGCTGTCTGAACAGAAGGAGTTATGACCATCCGGTGCTCGGATCTGATTGCCGGAGGTTGTTCTTGAAAGACCAGCTTACATAAGCGCCTTACACAGGCTTATGTAAGAACGGGCGCTCGTAGGCTGACATTATTTAATGCCGTGAGTGGCAGAATGGGTATATCTCAATCAGGCTATTTTTACACTGAGGTGCAAGATTGAGCTGGTTTTTTTTTTAACTAAATTTGGCTTTCATCGAAGCCTTGCGCTCATTGGCATATCACACAGCGGAAAGGATGTGGTACCGCGGAAAATTTAAGAATACCATAGTGACACACGATCAATATAGTACCCAGGTCTCAGCTTAACTACATTACAAGTTTTCGTATATATTATCTAAGCGCGCAACTACTAAACTACTCAGTTTTCATCTCCAACGTTGCTGGAAAGGCTGTATTCCATTGACAGTTTTAACCTAGGATATAAGGCTTCTGTTATCTTTTATTCATTGCGCACTACTGCACATGCATGTAGCATGCCTTAGGTCACGCGGTCGCAGCTGTCCGTCCTGCTACAAACTGCTATCTTTCCGTGAAAATAGAAGATTCAGTATCTTCGGGCAGACTGTGGTTTAGAAGAAACATGCGGATATATCTATCCTACGCTTAGATTTCTAAACAGTGTGCGGTGAAACGTAGACGTTATACTATATAGGCGAGCTACCTGTATGCAGCCATTCTTATTCGTTCAGCTGAGCTTGCCGTAGGTGACCGAAGTCCAAATAAGTCCGAAAGGCGTCTGACTACCATATAATAGTAAGAAGATGGCAAATAACCGCGCATATCCGATCGGGCTGTGCTCAGGCTCCAAAAAAACGGGCCAAAAAAATTAGCCCCTCTACGTCGGCCTTCCAGCGAACGATTTGGCTATTAGCCCTTCGGATCTAAATCCAGTAAAAAAGTGGCCGACCAGCAGGGAAGGAATGTGAACGCGACAGGTAAAAGAAAAAAGGCGAAAGCCATCAATGAATCGAACTTTGATTGGATTTGAGCCAGCATCTCACTGTGACAAAACAGAATTAAGTTACTTTTACTATTATTGGAAGTTACGAACGATTTATATTGATTTAAAATGCGATTTCGTACGTTATAACTATAACTACCACATGTGTAAGCTGGGATAGATTATTCGTTGGTGTTTGATGAAAATCAGAAATCGTCTAGGTTTCCTGTCAATTTTTCTTCAGCTTTCTATGGAGTAGCTCTACCTCTATGCTGGTGTATAAAAGGGACACTCAATCTTATTAACATATAGAGTCAATTGTAATAGCGGCTTGTTGAGACGTATCTTATCATTTCGACTTTTTTTTTTTTGCATTAAAGCGCTTATTCCTTGATTTTTTTTCGTCTGTTGCCGAGACTATTGAAATCTGTTGGATCTACTCTATAGCTCAGCCCACTTCAATTGCATATGAGCCTTTTTAAAAAAAACTTAACTACAATAATACCTCGCAATAATAACTATTTGAACAAATGAAATGATATGGCCACCAAGTTGCTAACCGTCGCTGTCGGGCTCAAATCGTACTGAAAGACATGTTCGCGAACACAACGGCGGAATCAGGCGTCCAATACTTTCAACTATCTACGAAATTCTGTAGCCAAATACTTGACCTCTAGTTCAAATCTGAGCTTCTCAGGTACGCTTACCGGAACAGTATTGCGTATGGCTATCATAGCAAGCTAAATGCGGCAAACAAAACTATAGCAGGATCTATTTAGTCCTTAATTGGGAATGCAGGTGTATAATATTGTGTGACTCACACTCGTAGGTCAAACATGATCTAGTCGATGCATTCGAGGGTGTGCCTGCTTAAAGCTCGCATCAGGCCACCTCTGAAGGAGATTCTTTGGCTATATATCGTTTCCGACACAATATGGCGAACATTTAGAACAACAAATATCCGGCCATGGGAAATAAACAAAAGCGCAATCAAAATACGAAAAAGTTTACCCAACCGAAGTACTATAATCTAACAAGAAGTTCAGTCTCAGGTACAAGAACCACTTCGTTTTTCCCATTATTATCTTCTAATCCATAACGTTGACTTCAAAGAAAAATGAATAATCCTATGCAAACTACTGCGCCACCTCCTCCGCTCTTTTCAGCCATTTTAGGTCAACTGTGACGGAGCATGCTTGTATGTTACTACTGGTCGCTGACTTCTAACTACTAGCGCATATTAGTCCACTAACACGTGTACTCATCTGGCCTACAGGGTTTCCTAGTCTTGTTGCCCTCTTTGACACTACGCGTACAGTGGCAATGTTTATCGCATTTGCCTCCGCTGCGTGTGGCGATTCCACACGGAGGCCAGGGCTCCTTCTTGCCTCGTGCATTACCGGAGGTGGCTTATACTGGCCTTGACTGTGTCCGTGGTTGCTGCTGCACACTCGATGCCCCTCAATAAGTACCGTAAATGCCATAGTGGCTTGCGGACAACGATTAGGTGTTCCTGAGACTGCTAGGTCGGCGGGTGCTGTGCCAACGTCACCAGCCACATCTCGCGGAGCGCCGTATCGTCCCTCCCATTGGGAAAAAGAACCAAAGTTCTTGGTCGTCCGTCGTGCCATTACTCATGCAGACTGTGTAACTATGAAGCGTCAGTAACTCACTGGCTCGCGGGAAGACCAACGTTTGTACCCCATACCCCATACGAACCGGCTTCCGACTGCTCGACGCACGCATTATAAGCTGTGAAATGATATTGCCGGCGATGTGGCTTCTTGCAACGCGTAATATTTCTCTTATCCTGTCTATCCTACTCAATTGGGTAGAAAGGAGAACCGCTTCTGTGACTAATGAGTGGCACTATTACATATAATAAACATAGTAATGATTACTTGTGATTTATCCTTATGGCTCCATTTGATCCATTGTTTTTCCGTAAATATATCCCTATGGTGGGCTGACGCTATGATTAAACAAACACTGTTAACTTCATTATATAATATACGACGTGCGAACAGAGACGATTTGTGGCATCTTTGTGCCGTCGCTGATTCACCTGGATTCGACCGACAAAGTCATGAATTCTGGAACCTAAGATACGTTCCATTTGTTAATGGTTTCTGCCTTTCGTTTTTGCTATGCCTGAATTTAATTAGTTCGCAATTATGGCTCAAAGATATTTAGTAGCTAAGGTAAGCAAAGCAAAAGTACATGAGAAAATATTGTGTGAGCACCAAATAGGTTTATTGATGGTCATACGGTCCGTTTCATAAAATGTTCGGATCGACATTTGGCTGCATAAGCCTTTGACGGAAACAACAATCAGAACAACAAAGTGCTGCTCTATAGGGAAGCAAGTAATAATATATATATTGTTTTTCTCTTTGCTTCCTATCAGGTGCAGAAGCTAGTTTTTTAGACTAAGTTCCTTCTTGGGAACGTACCTTCTGCTTGATTAGTTCACCGAACGAAACAATTACGAACCAAGTTCCGAGCTACAAGCCTCTTTATGTTTACGCAGCCATAAAGTAATCCTCCACTCTGTACTTCGAATCAGTACGGTAACCGTATTTTTTTTCTATTTGTTGGATCTTTTACAGCGCGTTGTGAAGCTGATCGCTTGAAAGTGACGCTACTAGTTCCATCAGTGGCGCTGGGCCGGTCAGCACTTCTCAATTGCTCGTTTGAACCTGTTAACGCTCGCCAGGAACCAGAAACGATATCGCGGGTACGTTGGTTCCATGACAGTGAAGAAGTCTTCCGATTTAATCGACTTGCAAATGAAAAGCTCGTCTTTGACCGACCCGGAGTTTTCGTAGATGTATGTATCCGTCTTGTCAAAAATAGGTACACAAAAAATTTAGAAAAGTTTATTTTTATTTTTAGCATAAATTAATTCAGATCTGAGGTTTTTCGAAGAACGAAAGGTCCATCTATGGTTCATAATGAATGCTGATGGAACACAAGAAGGTGGCTATCTACACTAACAGGGAACACTTCAAATGTTGCGCAAAAGCATATATCGCAACGTAGTCAGATCGATGCCCAACAAGGCAGAGAGGATGCATTAATCATATATGGATATACTGAGTGTTTGATACATAGGTGGATCGGTCAGAATATGGGCATGGCCAACGTGTTCACAAAAGCATCCAGACGAGACCGTGCAGGATATAAATACTCAACGAACCTTGACATTTATTCGATTAACACGAATGCTGTAGGGGAAAAGGTGGAGCAACGACTGCCTTAATGAACTCCACTCAGTCATGATTATTCAAAGCATATACTGGCGGACTAAATAAATGATCGTAAAATGAATAGAGGAAAACTTGTTAGAGTGTTCCGGGCCAAAGCAGCTAATGGCGGCAAATACGCTTGACGATGGCGCACGTATATGTGGGCAATGGAAATGAAAAGAGCACAGATTCCAAATCCTAGTTTGTTTGCCTGACACACGCCACATAATCTTCAATAGAGCTCGCGAGGTTTTCATTGAACAACTAAGATAAAATGGATTGCTTGGCATCCTACTCCTAGTACGAATGTTCGCACAACAAGGTCTAGGCAAACAGCTTTGAAATACTGACCTATACATTGATTTAAAACGCTGGATGTCCGCAGATCAACCATAAGTCTAAATGGCTTTTGCAGAAGTTTGCGTATCTGGTAATTACAGTATCAGTAAGTTCGTGTGTCACGTTTGAATTTGGAATACGACTTGATTGTAGCTACCGGAATGATAACAGCAAACGTCGGAGCAAAACTATCTTAGTCGGCAGAGGGAATTAGTAGCGTCACAGATGAACTTTCGTCGTTTTCAGCAGAAATTTAATGAATGAAGTTTCTAGGAAAGGCCTCTAATCGGCAACTCTTAACCGTCGCAAGTTAGGGGCATAATAATGCCCAATCAGAAAAAAGAAGTGCATAGATTCGTAGCATTCGATAAGAAGGCTAAAATTTAAAACTGGGACTAGCATTATTTTTATATTATAATAATATAACAATAAAGCAAGCCGTGACAGTCGTATTGGCACGTGCCAAATTAGGAGGACGGCTATACTGTGTTCAAGAAATTAGTGCATTAATTAGTACTGACAGCTTTCCTAGGTTGATTGTGACGAGCAGGGGGCCTGATTGCCAGGGTAGCGTCGCCTGATTTTGGCGGTATGTTGATAAAGCCAGCGGTACTCGTCTCAACTTACTCTTCCACTAGATGGGACCATATGGCTGACGCAATCCAACTAGTAAAGTTGTCGAAGAAAACAAGGTTACTTGAACTTGACCGGCATTAGTTACCTAGAGTTTTCTCGAAGGTACATATATATTTGCAACGTACACAGTGCCATACAGCGGGGAGTTAAGCCGTTCTCGTTATAGTGCTGATAGGGTCATTATCTTTGACGAGCATTAACCAATTAAACATGTATTTGCAAAGAACATTAGATAACTATTTCGATACTCGCAACCCATACATTCTTCTGTCACATAAAAGAGGAGCTATGGGCTGGATTCCGAGATGTTCAGTAAACCATAATATCGTAATACTTCTATAGTTGAAAAAAATATTACCGAAAATCCGTTTCAGTCTAATAGAAATTAGAATTATTACGCGTTTTCGACTTTCGACCTTGTTGTAATTTGCCTAATGTATTGGCAAGACGGAAGCCCTACGTTGTAACGTCAACTGAAGTTAGACGGATGATTGGTTTCGCCAAAAGACGATACCTGTTGATAGAGTTTGTCTGTGCCAGAGCGCCACGGCTATCTTAGTCGTCGCCTGGAAATGAGGCGGATAACATAGTTACACTGTATAATACCAGTGGCTTTCTAAGCGTCGGCTTTGGCTGAATTTAAAGTTACTAAGTATTATTGTAGAATTACTACGCATGTGTATATTATTTTCCATATCTTCCTATCTAGATAACCTCTCTTAAATTTATGGTGATATAGGGGAGGTCGACGTTTGGGGGGTTCGCGTCATTAGTTTCGGTAGAATGCAGCACAGACCATCTAGAGCACGTGGTCTTTACTTGAAACTACTCTATAAACGCGTTAAACCTTACGCGAAGATAAATTTTCTACTGCGACCTAGTGAATATAAACAATGGTAATTTATTAAAGTATCGCAACAGAGGGTTTGGTGGAGCCTTGTAAGTAAATGATAAGCTTATCATATGTTAACAATTCTCCACACAAGACCACATGATAGGGTAGCTTTGCGATAAATGATTTTGCTTTTTGAGTTGATTGATCTTATGCGACATAAGGCAGCTACGATATGAAGGTCTTTAGCTGGTTTTCCTTATAAAGCGTAACGAAAAAGTAGATGTTCTACTTAGCACGATAGTTTCAGAACCTTTATGGCAGTCGTGAAATGGAGCACTTGGGTGATGGGGCTCGTCAATTACTATAGATTTTCAGGATATATCCAAACTTCGTATTCTATATTGTCAAATCTAACATTAAAAAATTGCTACACGGACTTGGAGCAACACCTCTGGTCCTCTTCGACCAGATTACGTAAATGCCTGTCTAAACACTCTATGGCACGAATTGGATAGACCCAAATAGGTAGTTCAGATTTTGCTTTCTGTACTGCCGTTGAGCATCTATTTTAGCCACCCCAAGTTCTGAATCTGGACCTTTTCTAGGCGAACACGTTGCCATTGCACCATCACGGGGAGTTAGAAACGGTCAATTTGCGATGAACCACATAATAATAATAATAATAGGTACAACTAAACACTGCATCCTCCATTAAATAGCGCGCATAAATTATCAAATACCGGCCTGTGCTTAGATTTAAAAGTAAGAATTGGTTGGCTCAGCTGTCAACGTAAGCAGATGAACGTACTTTCTTTCCCTTTACGCAGAAATTAACAACGGCCGTTCTGAAGCTACTCAAAGGCTCTGTTCTGACTAATAGCCGGAACAATGTGGAACGTCTAAGGAATTCTGATACGAAACTTCCTCGTCGCCGGTGACAGTAGAGATGGATTTTTAGAATTGATCACTAAAGCTTAGCTAGGCATTGGCTGTACGATAGTGTGAGAAGCATAACCCAGACTTGGTAAGCAAAATTCAATTCTTTTGTTCGTTGATAATTTGACCATTTCCGCAACCTATCACGTCGTTACGGTTTAGCGGCTGGCTCGCCTGACAGCATAGACCGCGCTTAGAAATCGGGGATCAACATGCTCCTATGGGATCCCAGTAATTTTCGTCTCGCTAACTCTATTACTTAACCCACCACAAAGAAGTAGTGTTTTTCTATACGGCGTATAGGCATGCTATAAGAACAGCAGGGCCTTGTACACTCGACGTTTTCTTTGGCCTATAACGTGTAAATGGAGCGTCTGACACAATCTTAGTCTGATAGAAAGTACCTTAAATTTTCGCCTGCAATTTACCTGCCACAGATGCGGTAATGTTAACAAATATACAGCTTAGTGAAGGCTGTGCTCACGTACCGATAGAAAAGGTTTACATGCTGGAGAGCAGAGACAAATGGAGTATGCTCTGATAATAGGATCCGTGTATCGACGAACGACTGATCCTCAAGTAAACACGCTCAACGGACCCGTTTGTTGAAGTAGGATCACTTCGGCAGTTTCAAGTTGAAGCCGTCGCAAAAATATATCTTTGCTATGGAGATCACCAGACATGTCCATATGTTTGTTGCAAGGCGCTGAGAAAACAGCGATATGAAATCCTGCGAAGAGAAGTGTAACGCTTTTTGCAGGTCCTTGCCGGCTTTTATCCATACATTATAGGCTTTATCAATTTTCGGATAATCCAGATTATCTTAAGAAAACTGTTTTTAGTAAATACTCAAATCCCGTTTATTATAGTAGGCCATTGTTATAAATCACTTCTCGAGTTTCTCTCACGTTCTGGGCCTTTTTTAACTGTTATATGATTGGTTTACTTATTCGTTATAAGTCGGCAGATGCAAAGGGCCTGGTACACACCGTTCATTCGAATCTAGCCTAATTTCGACTTACAACGTTTTTGCGCCCTCTTCACCAAAATTAGAATCCTAAAAACCATTTTACTTGCATATAAAGACTTTAAGAATTGGCCTAAAATCCGCTCCTTCACCAGCACTCGTTCCGCTATCTCTTACGCATCGAAATGAGACTGCCGCTATTCCTGCTTGTATATTGCTACCGAGTGCTTCCGGGGTGATTTTCAGTACCTTGCAATGTCAACATTTGCGTGCATAGACTTTCCATTAACGCGTCGCCCAACAGACCTCGATTGAAGGCATTTTCTGTCTTCTCTCAATATATCTTGTCGTTCTGAATGTTCGACTTTTACGTTTGTAATCACTAACGTACTTTCTCGTTCAGGTACCCCATTGGCATGCTTCTTGGACGCCTATCTGAACATGTCACATTTGAACACTTTAAACTTAATGGACACCCTTCACTTTCGATGTCTTCGTTTCTCAGTAATAGAACTTAGGTACCATCCTACTTTTTTCACAGCGACCGCAAACACAGGTTCGAACGATCGAGTACGGTGAAATCGAGCCCTTTAAGACTGAAAGCAAGCACTATGTGTCAGCTATCGAAAGCCACCTAGTTTAGCTTAAAGGAGAAACGACTCGTAATAAATCTGCCCTCGGACACTTCGACTTAGCGTACATGAAAGCCACGAACAGTGGTAAAAGAAACAACACGAGGAAATAATACTTGCAATATTACTAATCATAATTAACAATAATCATAAAAAAAAAAAACAATAATGGTTCTTCTGAGGGGTCATAACTGGCAATTCTTGATTTAATTCCTGCTTTAAGTCCATCCTGTACTC